TCAGTTTTTTGGATGCTATTGTGAAAGGAATTATTTGCCCTATTTCTCTCTCAGTGAGTCTGTCATTCGTGTAGAGGAAAGCTATTGATTTTTGTGACACTGGAAGTCTTGCTTTCCCTGGAAGGGAATTCATGCTCTTGCTGTCACACCGCTGTACCCAGTTTCCTCAACCTAGTTGGTACCCAGACCTCCTTCCAGCCATCTGATACATATCCACTGATCATCAGCTCATGCCATCTTATGAGCTGTGCCCTCAGTGCATACAAAGTGTAGTCAGAGAGACAGACACATCAAGGGACAATGATAACAAGGTAAGCACAGTGGCAGAAATGTTCAGGGGACACAGAAAGTGGGTTCCCAATTCAGCCTGCATCCTTCCTCACCCAGCCACTGGGGCTTTACTCATTTCAAGTCTCAAACCAAAGGTCTTTGAGAAATATTCCAGGAAGCCTGAAGGAATCTGGTGACTGTTCAGGTTGGCCCTTTGGACCCTCACTGGGCTAACACAGATCTTTCTCTCTACAGCTCTGTAATGGCAATCATGGGGACCTTCCAGAGGTCTGGGAATTTTGGGCAAGGACCTGATTGGCCAAGCTGGGTGAGCTCCCTTTCTCATGTTCTGGCTGTCCCTACTCTGCCTGCCTCCTAAGTGACCACCTAGGGCTGGGGATTTAGCTCAGTCGTTCCGGCACCTGCCTCGCAAACGCAAGGACCCGAGTTCGATCCCTGGTACCAAAAAAAAAAAAAACCTAAGTGACCACCTTATTCAGGGAGCATCTGCGTGGCTGCCTCCTCCTATTCACAGTGCACGCGGCAGAGGATGGTCTCACTCATCACTTGGATCCAGCATCTGCCCCGGATCCTTAGGACTGGCAGAATGAAAGACCTGAGGGATGAAGAAGACAAAGAAGGGCACCCTTCTCCCTAGTGCTCTTTCACCAGAGTCAGGCCTGCACTTGCTGCCTTTCCTGTGCCTGGCGAAGACCCCTCTGGAACCAGGCCCTGCAGCCAGGCTGGGGCTGCTGCTCTCATCCCTCATACAGGAGCAGTCTGGCCATAAAAGGCATTGCCACAGTGGTGCCTTGGCCACTCCCCAGCCTGGTTGGACCTGCCTGCCTCAGCCTCCTGAGGAATGAGCTAAGGCAGCTCTGGTTCTGAGGGGTAAGGAGGAAGATCTGCAGGGCCCCTGAGTACCTCAAAATGGTGTTGGCGGGGGGGGGGGTACTGGAATTTCCTGTAGGTCCTAAGTCCCTTCTGCTCTCTCTGGGCTAGGGGCCCCTCAACATTGGTGGTGGAGGACTCTAGAAATATGTAACTCTGGGGTGGTCTCAAGCTGGAGGTCTTAGAGAACTGTTCCAGGAAGCCTTAAGGAATCTGGTGATAGCTCAGGCTGGTTCTCTCCAGAGCTCATTGGACCATCCCAGAGGGCTGGGGATCCTGGGCAAGGACCTGAGATGACTTTCAGCCCCAACCCTCTCTCCCAGGCTGAGTACTTGGTAAGCTCTTGCCCCACAACTGCTGCTTGCCTTGAATTATGTCTGGGCTTAGTGGTACCTCTGCAGAGTTGGGGTTGGGGGCAGGGGGTCTTGGGGGTCTAGTGCAAACAGCTTTGGACAAGGCTGGGAATTTCCACTCCTATCTAGAGAGTCATCAACGCTGTGTGCCCTGACCTGGGCCTTTGGCCTCCAAAGGGCAGTGGGAAGGCCGGCCCCAGGGCCAATCCCTGGCCATTAATCCCTCCTGCCAGCCTGAATATCCACCCAATGTGGTCAGACAAAGGACTGCTCAGGCCAGCCACTGTGTTCCTCCCGCCCCAGGGGCTCCACTCAGACGCTGGGCTGCCTGGAATCCAGGCCCATGAGAAAGGGGCTGCCTTCACTGGCCATCTTATGCCCGGATGCTCAGCCGCATCACGTCCGGCCCAGGGCCTGTGAAAAGAGGGCCCAGCCACGCTGAAAACACGGATTAGCCCTTGGGCCGCCCCCTGACACTGCCTGCTCGGCTCTGGGAAGCAGGCCCTTTGGAGGGGCCCAGACAGGCACAAAGAACTAGAAAAAGTCTATGTTCTCGGCCTTTTGGCCCAGCTCCCCGCCCCCACTCTCCTTAGGGATTAGCACAGCCAGCTGAACATTTGGTATCATTTATTGAACATATACTATGTCCCAGGTTGCATAAATGAACTAGAAAATTGAAAGTATAAGAAAACTGCTGTTGGCCATAGTAGGTAGCAAGAGCCAATTTTACCCTGATCCCTTCACTCTCTGAAGGTGTAAGAAAGAGGCTGTGTGGGGTGGGGATTTTTAGCTCAGTGGTACTGCTGCCCGCCTTGAAAGTGTGAGGTCTTGAGTTCGATCCCTGGTACAGAAAAAGAAATAAGGAAAAGAAAGAAAAAGAAAGAAAGGAAGGGAGGAAGGAAGGAAGGAAGGAAGAGGCTGTGGTGGAGCACTTCTTTGGAGGGGCTGCATCCCTAAAGGGAAGTGGGATAGGGGATGGCTGAGGTGTCATCAGTGCTGTCTCTTGCCTGAGTCTAGTGCAGGATTATGCTGCACCTGAATGAAAAAATGCCGTCTCTCCCCGTTGTTCTGGTTAATACTAGAAATGCCTGTTGTGTAGTCAGGGAAGAAGAAGCTCTTACCAAGTGCCAATGTGGACCAGGCACTTTTGTACAAGATCTCATAACAATGCTGAAAAAAGACGTTATTGCTTCCATTTGGCTGGTAAGAAAATGGGCTCAGATGAGAGGTAGCTCTGCTCTTAGAACTGGATTCCATGCTGCTATGGTTGCTTGTTTTGCCCCCTGCTGAGCGAGCGGTCCAGGGCGACTGCACTGTCCCGTGTTCCTTATGGACTGCGTCAGTGCAGTAGAATGCATGGTGGAGAGGATACTGAGGCAGAGACTGTTCCCTGTTTCAGCATAAACCTGGCTGATTTTTGTTGTTGAGGGCAGGGCACTGTCTGTAAATCTTCTCCTTCCTCTGCTTCTATAGCCCCCTGACCAACTCCCTCATAGCTTGTCATTGTCCATCTCTCCACTAGGCTGTACATCTCATCATCTCTGTCTTGCCTTGAGCATTCGAAAAGGACCAGGCCCCAAGTGATTGGTGAATGATGCAGGCCGAACTGGGGCAAGAAGAACTGAAGGAATGTTGGATTGGGGACAGCATGACATTGATAGGACTTGACAAAGGCCTGGTTGTAGGGACTGAGGCAGGAGAAGAGGGTATCCATTTGAGATCTGGAACACCAGTAGGAGAGCAGGATGAGGTTGGAGAGTCTATTGGGTTAGGGAGAAAAACATTTCATTTCACTGAACAGCCACATGGTGATGTTCAATGGGAACCTGGACATGCTGACCAGGTCAAGAGAGAGGCAGGAGTCAACTTTAGCAGCTGAAGTGTGGGGAGCTGCAGGAACTCCAAGGTAACTTATTGGATCCTGAAGTCTCCACTTTAAAGGGTAGTATTGCAAGAGTGGTGGGGCCACTGCTCTGACCTCAGGTTTCATTCTAGCTCTGCCATTATTAGCTGTGTGAAGTTAACTGCTTAAACTCTCAGAACCTTAGCTTTCTTATTCACAAAATGAGGACTGGAACACTTCACAGAAATGCTCAAACTTAAGTAAAATAATGTATTTAACGTGTTCACCAAATACAGAATGCTTAGTTGTAGGGGCTATGATACTACCAGTTTCCACTGGTGCTGGGCAAAGGTCTTTGTGGTCCAGCCTTGAGAAGGGATTTTGAAGCCCTACACAGGCCAGCCGCAATTAGCTTTGGTCATCTGTAGGGGCGTAAGGCACACTTCATCAGGGCTGGACTAGGGTAGGGCAAACAAGGCCCCAAATTTCAGTAGGCCCTGACTCTCAAGGCTGACCGTGCACTTGGAAGACCCCAGAGTCCCTTAAATTTAGGATGGTAGGCCCCTCACTTGTCTCCCAGTACTCTCAGCCCTGCTCCCTGTCCAGGTTCCTTGATCTTGCCTGTCTGCAGGACAAGGAAAGGCTTTAAGGTAAGCTTCCTTCACCTTTCAGTTTCCTCTGGGTTACGGTGGTGGGTGGTATCTAACAAAAACTGCCAAGGCCCCCCTAACTTAGTGAGCAGAGTAGTGTCTGGATCAGAAAGCAGCTCTCTCAGACCTTCAGTATGGAGAGCCAGGTGGAAGCTTCTCACACGGATAAGTGTTCCTTGGAACTCAGGGGGTTGTGCAGAGCTGTGTTAGAAGTGCAACTTGAAACTGTGGATTAGGGGAGATCCTTGATTTAGAGCAACTGGACCACCTTTTATAATTTTGATTTCTCAAAGATGGCTCCTGAAGCCTTAAGTGAGGCCATGACAGGAATGTGGGGGAGGAAGCACAAGAAGAGATGGTGACTCTGACCTGGGGTCTCCAAATATGAAACCAACCCCTGCTCTTCTCTGTGACCTTAGCCCTGGCTTCCTAATATCCAGCATTGGGCCTGACATGTCCCTGACCAGCCACAAAGGGTACTGAGGGCTGGCAAGACTTCTCTCATCCCTGATCCAGCTGAGTATGGAAGGATGGCAGAGGATGGAGGGGACCGGATTGCTGGGAGGAGCAAACTGGGGTGAGGTCCAGGAAAGTACCCTGAATGGGTGGATTTGTGATTGGGATTGACCCAGAGGGGTAAGAGGAAGGGGGAGAAAGAGACAGATCAAATGCCTTGGGATGGGACTGACCCAATGGAGATGCAGAAGGGATGAAGCAGGGTCTGGGGAAAATGGAGCCAAAGGGAAGAGAGCCAGAGGGAGGGAGGGGCGAAGCGGAGGGGGCTGCGAGCGCGGGAAGGGGGCTGGGGCAGCGAACTGGAGGCGCTAGCCAGCAAGGAAGGTCCTAGCCCTCTCCCTGGGGGTGGTGAGGCCCTGGCCATAAAAGGCCAGTCCCGGGGCCCTGCCCTCCCCAGCCGCGGGCAGGGGCCGCCGCATCCCCATGACTGGGCGCAGCGACATGGACCCGCCCGCCGCTTTCTCGGGCTTCCCTGTCCTGCCCTCGGTCGCGCCGTCGGGGCCTCTCGCAGCGGCCGAGCCGGGCCAGGAGCAGGAGGAGGCGGCGGCGGCGGCGGCGGCGGGCAGCGGGGAGGCAGGCCCCATCCCTGCGCCAGACCCAGGGCGGCGGCGGCGGCGGCCCCTGCAGCGCGGAAAACCGCCCTACTCCTACATCGCGCTCATCGCCATGGCGCTGGCGCACGCCCCGGGCCGCCGCCTCACGCTGGCCGCCATCTACCGCTTCATCACCGAGCGCTTCGCCTTCTACCGCGACAGCCCGCGCAAGTGGCAGAACAGCATCCGCCACAACCTCACGCTCAACGACTGCTTCGTCAAGGTGCCCCGCGAGCCGGGCAACCCAGGCAAGGGCAACTACTGGACGCTCGACCCCGCGGCCGCCGACATGTTCGACAACGGCAGCTTCCTGCGGCGCCGCAAGCGCTTCAAGCGAGCCGAGCTGCCCGCGCACGCGGCCGCGCCCCCGGGGCCCCCGCCGCCCTTCCCCTACGCGCCCTACGCGCCCTACTCGCCCGCGCCCGGGCCCGGCCCCGCGCCACCCGCGCGCCTCTTTCGCGTTGACGGCCTGGTGAGCCTGCAGCCCGAGCTGGCGGCGCTGGCCGCGCCCGACGCCTTCCCGCCCTGCGCGGCAGCCGCCTCGCCGCCGCTCTACGTGCAGCCCCCCGACCGCCTGGGGCTCCCCGAGCTGCGCCCCGGCCCTGGTCAGCTGCCCGCCGAGCCTCTGCTGGCCTTGGTCGGACCCGCCGGCGCCGTGGGCCCACTCAGCCCGGGGGAGGCCTACCTGAGACAGCCAGGCTTCTCTCCGGGGCTGGGGCTGGAGCGCTACCTGTGAGAACCTTTCCCGTGGCCAGGAGCACCTGGGCGCCCCTCTCCCCCAGAACTGGAAGGCGGGCGGCCTTGGCACAGCACCGCGGGCCACACTTCTGAGTATCCCCCCATCACTTGCCTCCTGAACTGAGCACACCTCCTAATGCCTTCACTGCCAACCCCCATCTCGCCATCCAACTGAAGCGTCCCTTCCAATTTGTGAGCCCTTGGTTGTTTCTTCCTCTAACCGTGATCCTTCACTCCCCCCCCCCCCGCCCCGCGCGCCCTGCGCCGTCTATGGGTCCCCTGCCCCAGAGCCTCCCACCCCCAGGTGCCCTGGTGAGTTCCTTCGGAAGCTTCCTTCCAATCTCAAGTTGCCAGCTCACTGACTCTGCTTGGGCAACCTCGTCCCATGTTTTGCCAGCACATTAGAGATCAGACCTCTGGTTTGTCCCAGGTACAGGTCTGTCTTCAGCCTTTTTTTTTTTTTTTTTTTTTGTGGTATCAGGAATGGAACTCTCCTGAGCTTTCCAGGCAGGCGGTGGAACCACTGAGCTAAATCCCCGGCCCTGCCCTCAGCATCTTCCTGGGAGAGTGCTCCCCTTTCACCTAAAGGCCTTGGCTGCCTTTTGCCAGGCCCCAGGACAGTTCTGTAACTCGGAGACAAGCAGCACCAGGAGCTCCTGACTGAAGGGGGAGGGGGTGTCGCTGGATTTCTATGTCTGCCCTGCCTCCTGGAAAGCATAGGACTTACCAAGGTATTGTAATTTTTTAATTAAAGCTGGTTTCATTAAACAGGAAGGGGTTGGTGTGCTGGTTGTGAACTGGGGGAGCAGCTGGGGAGGACAGCTGGTGAACTTTGTATTGTGGGATGCCATCTGGTGTTGAACCCCACTTCATGAAATGGGATTAAGAATTGATTCAACCAAAGCCATGCACATAGTAGGCCTAGTCAGATGTTGTCACTGGCATCTCAAGCCTGGTAGGGTTGGGGTGGGTTGTGCATGTGCGTGTGCACATGTCCTGTGAGTGTGTTTAGGCTGTGGCATTCCCAGCTCCTGTGGATAAGGGAGCATTGTGTGCCCAGCACTGTGCTAGGAACTAAGGGTTCATCACTGAATGAATGGGGAAAATCCCTGCCTTTCGAATTGCAGGTTGGGGAGAAACTGCTCAGAGAAAGGAGATAAGTGCCCTAGAACTTGTACTTCATTCAGTGTGGGCCACATACCTTTATCACTTGGAAACTTGTTAGAAATACAGGATTTCAGGCCCCACCTCATACACTGGATCATTAGATAATGCAATTTAACAAAATTCCCCTGTGATTGATATGCACACATTACTGGAGGCAAGGCACAGGGTCCAGGCTGGGGGCTCAGTCTGAAAGAGCAAAGGTAGGGGCCGGGGATGTAGCTCAGTGTTTCCACCGCCTGCCTCGAAAGCACGAGGTCCCGCCCTGGTACCAAAAAAGAGCAAAGCTCCTACTATGAGGAGACCAAGTTGCAGATCACACCACATGCTCTGAACTTCTAGAGCTGAACTGCACCATCAGTCAGTTAGGCCCCTATTTTATCTCCCCTGCTGGGTTGTGAGATGGAGCAGTGTTGACCGGAGCTGACTTGACTGTCCACAGCACCAAGGACAGGGCAGCACTGAACAGAGACTTGGGTTGAAGAGTGAAGGGGGGAATTGGCCTTTGGCCCTGGTCTGCTCTATGGGACTGACCCAAACACTAAGCTTCAGGCTTTTCCAAGCTTCCTGCCCCAGGGCTCCCAGTCTAGTTGAGCCTGAATTCAGGGCAGGGTAGGGTAGGGTAGGGGATCAGTACATCCAGAAGGCAGGATGAGTGTTTTTTGCTTGTACATACCTGCGGCACTTCTTCTAGATCCAGGCATCTGAAGCTCTGGGGTGGTGAGACAGGATGAGGGTGACAGCAAGCAGCTCAGAAGAGCAGAAAGGTGCAGGGAGTCTGGGAAGTCTCTCTTTGGAGGTTGGGCAGGACGTATGCACAGTGTGGTAGAAAATGCCCCTAGAAAGCCCCCATTCTCCCAGCTCTGAACTGCTTTGGGTAAAGGTGCATTTGCCTGGTGCATAGGAGCCTTTCCCTTAATATTTGTTAACTGACTGACCAAACAAATAAATCCCTAGTGTCTGATACTGTGCCTAACTTAACGAGTAATGACTAAATGTACAATACTTGGCACATTCCCTTCTTTCTTCTCTTTTTTTTGTTTGTTTTTTGGTACAGGGGATCAAACTCAGGACCTTGAGCTTTCCAGACTGGTGGCACCACCACTGAGCTAAATCCCCAGCCCAGCACATTCCTTTCTTACTTGCAGTTTTATAGTTACTTGTGAAAAGAGCAAGGCAAGGTGGCTGATGCCTGTAATCCTCCCACCCTGGGAGGCTGAGGCAGGAGAATCACAAGTTGGACCTGAGCCCAGGCACCTTGGCAACTTAGAAACCCTGTCTCAAAATATAAAACACAAAAAAGGGCTGGGGATGTAGCTGAGCTTGAAGGCCCTGGTTTTAATCCCATTACCCTCCTCCCCTGCCACACACACACACACACACACACACACACACACACACACACACACACAGAGTGAAATAGAGGTGGAGGTGGAAGTGATTTTCTTACTCATTGGTTGAGAAAACCACTCTTCCCTGGGCCTCAGTGAGTAGCAAAGAATCTGTAAGAAGTAGAGTTCCACAGAGATCTGAATGCCTTTCTTCTGCTCCAACTGGTGTGATAGTCTCTCGTCTTGCTTCAGAACTCCTGTTGATAATTCCAGAAATTTTCAGGGGAGGGAAGGACCCTCTTACTGCCCTGAAGCCAGGAGGTGCTTCCTGAACTCTGAATTCCCTTTCTGTCGCTGTCATGCTGGTCCTGGTCCCCAGAATTCTGGTGCACTCAGAGCACAGGTAGGGGGTTATTCTTGGCAGTTCACTGCTGAGCTGGAAAGTAAGAACAGTTTTCAAAATGCCTCTTTAATTTTCACTTATCCAACAATATCAAGGGCTTACTGTGTATCAGACTCTGTGTCCAATAGAGATACAAATAAGAGACAGTTTACATCCCCAGAGTAACTGTATGTAATAAGAGTGTTCTAAAAACTCATACTTTGGTAGATGTTAAAAAAATGAAAATGAAAATCTAGTACAACTCTGTCTTTAAAAGACATCAATCACTTTTTATCTAGAAGTGAGATTTTAATATTCTTCCTTCTTTTGGGGAGAAAATAGTGTACATGGAAACTTCAGAAGTATTAAACAAATATTCAACCCTTCATGCTTGTAGAAATCTGGATATCATTTTAACCTGAAGACACATTTTAATGCTTAATTGTTATTTCTATTAAGTTGAAACAAGCACCCAGTCCATAATCTAACAAATCAAATAGCAAAGTCTGACAGTGGTGTCTTGCCTCACTCTTAGGAACCCTGCATTTTTCCCTTTGAGCACCTACTTTCAATTTCTGTTTCTTTTGGAATAGACTTCCATATTTCTGTACCTTTATTCCTGTCTCTCAAAACAGTAATGATTACTTTTTTTTTCTTTTCTGTCATGGTGGGGAGTGAAGCCAGGGCCTGGAGTTGGTTAGACATGCCCCTTATCTCTGAGCTACACCCCACTCCTAATGATTAAGTTTCTATTAGGAAAGGTAATCATTTACCTCTAAAATCTCCATTACTTTCCATTCCAACCCAAATCACTAACTTTTGGCTAAATCAATTTTTAGCTTTCACACTATTATTACTGTATGAATACTGTTCTCTGAGAAGCTACTAGTGTACTATGATTACACCTCCTTTTCTCGTGTACAACTGTTGATTTTTCCTGGAGTTAATACTACCTTTTTTTTCTTTTGCTCAGCGTCCTTTATATCCATTGCTAAATCTTCCCATACTTTGCAGTGGCACTGTAGTGAAGTTTTTTTGTGAAGTCAAACTTATCAAAAAATCCATCCTTGCTTTTGGTGGCTATGTTTTGCCATCCTGGGAGCATCTCTCCCAGGTTACTCCATTGTCCAGCTCCAACTTGGACTGACAGCTTTCCATGTCTGCTATACAGATGTGGACCTGGAATGTCCCTTCATAGTTATCCTGGGAATTCCCACTATCTCTGACCTGTGTTGAATCTTTTGCTTCCTTGATTCTGTATTTTTCTTTTTCTTGATTTATTCCCGTGTTCCAGTAGAGGTAAATTGTTTTGGAAACTTTATACATTTGAAATTAAAATGATTGTTTTAGCATGAGAAGTTAAGCATGCACTTTGACAAATATTTGAGTTGAAGCTGTTTCGGTAGACTTTATGGGTGTGTGGGTGGGGAGGGTACTGGGGAATTGGAGAATGGGAGGTTTTTCTCAGCTCAGTGTGTGTTACCTCCGGGCAAGCTAGGAAGGTGGCTCAGTGTTATGATATCTTTGGGTGGAAGGATGAAGGCAGGGAGACTACTGAGAGTGCCTTATAGGAGGAGATTCGACAGAAGAATCCCTGGAAGGGGGCTGCACCAGACTTAGAAGGGCTTGGAACAAAAGAAGAGTGGCTTTAGGGCCTGGGGTGATGTTATGGGCTCCTGGATCCAGCTAGAAAGGGGTCAACACTACCCCGGCACACCGGGTGCACACTGGCTACGTAGAAAAATGGCACCCTTGGCAGGGACACTGACAGTCATGACAACAGAGAAGCTCCTTCAGGGAACTTTTGGAGCTCTGGGTATGTACGACCTAGGAAGCCAGGCAATTAACCTGGGAAAGAAAAAGAGAAGCATGGAAGCCCTTCTACCTAGTGACAGTGTTGCTTTCAGCCCATGTTCTGCTCTGAAAGATCCTGGAAGCAGAGGGTTAAGGGAATGATTTTGCAATATACAAGAGGTCAATATTGTCTACTTTTAAAGGAAAAAATTCCGTGAACCTTCAGTGTTGATTTTAAATTGTTAAATGATGTCACTCGGTATGTGCCATTATAAATTCATTAGACTTCTTTTTTTTTTTTTCCGGTACTGGTACTGGGGATTGAACTCAGGACCTTGTGCTTGCCGGGCAGGTGAGGCACTGCTGAGCTACATCCCAAGGTCCTAGACTCTATTTGTTTGTTCGTTTGTTTTTTTGGTACCGGGGATCGAACTCGGGATCTTGCACTTGTGAGGCAGGAGCCAGAACCACTGAGCTAAATCCCTGGCCCTAGACTTCTAGTTTTTACATAACTGTTGAAATCTTTGATAAATTCAAACAGGAATAAAATCAAATTTCAAGTCCATGCCATTAATCGAATGTA